TATCGACACGTTTTCAACAATTGTGCTTTGAAACATTGTTTCGGATTGTTGCTTGAAAGGAGGCTGTCATGTGACATGTCGAAGTCAAGCTGAGTTACGTTTACTGAAACGTCATGGCTAGCTCAAACACAAAAAGTGGCAGTGTGCCGATTATATCTCATATACCTGCAGTCTGTTTATTGCTGTGCATTTACTGTCAATATTTGTATGTATTATGTTATTTCCATAGTTTTATTTGTGGTGTTTTATTATTGGTGATGCAGTGACGCAGTGGGTAGCATTGTCGCTTTACAGCAAGGTCACTGGTTTGAGCCTCAGCTTGATCAGTTGGCATTTTTGTGTGGAGTTTGCAAGTTCTTCCCGTGTGCGTGTGGGTTTCCTCTGGATGCTCTGGTTTCCCCCACAAGTTAGCACATGTGCTATAAGTGAATTGGAAGAACTAAATTGGCCGTAGTGTTTGAGTGTGTGTGAATGTGAGAGTCTATGAGTGTTTCCCAGTACTGGGTTGCCGCTGGAAGGGCATCCGTTGTGTAAAACAAGTGCTGTAATAGTTGGCAGTTCATTCCACTATGGCCACCCCTGATGAATAAGGGATTAAGCTGAAGGAAAGCTGTTCATTAGCTACTACAGCAAGGAAGTTCTCAAGATCTACCTGAGCTCCAAGTCCCCTCTGGCCTTGCAAACGGGAGGGAGCCCCGGGCTCAAGGATCTTATGAGCTCAGGCCTCTCTCCCGGGACAGCATGCCAAACAAGCTTTATAATCAATCATCAGCTAAGTGTGAACTCCTGAAATAAGCATTAATTGGCTGATACTTATAATGCCATTCATTTTCTTTATTGGCCCCAGACTAAGGCCTTGTTCATATGTGGAATCCAATATGAATCAGATCTGTGCCCTTGTGTTTACATAGTAAGCAGGTTGATCGGATTTTCACCTGTCAATGCCAATCGCGCGTCTTTAAAAACCGTTAGGAATGATGTCAACTGTGCTGATTTCATTTCAGAACACACTTCAGCAGAGTCCCAAACCTTAAATCTCATATACAAGGATAAATAAAGCTTTTATATTGTCATGTACTACAAGTATTTAAGATGTTAATAAGAGAGAGAGAGAGAGAGAGAGAGAGAGAGAGCAACATCCGCCATGTAAACAATATAAACTATAAAACTATAAAAAGAAATTACACTAAGATGGTTACTAGTTTAAAAAAGCCTATATTAAAAGAAGATGGCCAAATGAGAACATTTAAGGCATAGATTATAATGAAAAAACTTGTCAAAAATTATACTAAAGTAAAACCTGCAAACAGATTAAATACAAGAATGAAGAAAAGAGTTCCCCGTTTTTTTTTTTTTTCCTGATCACTGCAATCTTTTCGTGTCCAGTGTAAATATAGAAAATTGGATACCAGTCACCTTTAAAAGATGATGTCAAAAAAATCCGATACAGTCACAAAATCAGAATTGACCATCAAGATCGGCAGTGTAAATGCAGCCTAAATTAAGCAAGTGAACTGAACTATGGTGGTTTATGCTGTGGGGAATCATTGGTCTTCACACCCTGTTAAAAGCAGATTCTGAAAAATTATCTGATGATAAATGTTGTCCATATATCAACTGTTATCACCACCGGCAAATGGTTTCTTCTGTAGTCGAAGGCCATTGAGCTTGCCAGTAAGGCCTCGGTGGCAGATTGAATGTCCCACTTAAACATTTAAACCCAGATTTGATTTACTATGCACCGATGCATTTCCAATGTCAGCTTTCCCTGGAATTGTGACCGCTTAAGTGTATATGAAGCAAATTCATGATGAGAATGGGTGATTTCAAAACATACTGTAGATGAGTGATGGCTTTGTGTTTATATATCTTGTTTAAATAGGGCGATAGGGAGATGAATGCTCAAAATACATGTATTTATTTCACTGATGTACATATGATGTAGTATATACAACCCGAAACCAGAAAAAGTTGAGACAGCATGGAAAACGCAAAGAAAAAAAGAAGTGATTTCTAAATGTACTTTGACTTGTATTTCATTGCAGATAACACGACAAACATTATTTAATGTGTTCCTTGTGATTTTTATTACAATTTTGGTTCAACAAAAAAGTTGGAACATTAAAGCATTTTCCACTTTGTAATGTTTCCATTCCTCTTCAGAACACTTAAAAGACATTTAAGGACTGAAAACACCAAGTGAAGAAGTGTTTTAAGTGTAATTTTGTCCCATTCATCCTGCAAACAAGTCTTAAGGTGGCCAACACTATGGGGTCTTCGTTGTTGCATTTTGCACTTTAAAATGCGTTCAACATTCTCTGTTGGAGACAGGTCGGGACTGCAGGCAGGCCAGTCTAGTACATGTATCCTCTTCCTCTACACCCAGGACTTTGTAATGTGTGCAGAATGTACTTTCGCATTGTCTTGTTGAAATATGCATGGAGCTGTTTCCCAATATGCGTTCTTGTCTGTACTTGTGTCCTCGTGAAACGTCATCAACCTTCGCCGAAGTACTGTTCCAATTAAAAGTTCACGTCTTGCCAAATAGAGATAAAATTCCCGGATGTGTACTTGCTCTGCCCCTTTGGCCAAGGATACATCAAGAGGTGACTTGTGCAAACCTGCGAAGGACAGGTATATTTAACAAACAGTTTTTAGTATTTTAAATCTATTATTTGTTCTCAGGTGTATTATTTTGTCAATATTATTTTGTTACCTTTTATAAGTGTCTTTAATTATGTTATTGTGTTGTACGCTGTTTGTCTTTGTTTACCAAATTGCTTTATGTTATCTTTATTTCTTATTTGTACTTGTATAATGTCCATTGTAGTTTATTAAATCTAATAATAAAAGAAAGGAGTCTGTGTATAATAACACATTTTACTTTACATTTATATTGATTTATGTTTACATTTTCTTAAATCAAAAATGTAGATTTATAAAATCAATATAATATTAATTACGGGTCGTGCTTTAAATAATTAAATCATTTTATAGTTAATGTACTGTGAAACCAATGAATCCATGGTGAGTTAAGTGACGTTATAAAGTACACTGCCATTTCATTTGAAGAAGTACCCGACTTGTGTCCACGCATCCTCGGTAGTTCGTTCTTTTAAGTCTGAACTTGGCAAGTCTGAACTTCCAAGAATGCAAGTCCAAACTTAGTGTACTTGATATTGAAAAACAGCCTGGGTGTCCCTGGAAAAGAATTCAATTCAATTCAGCTTTATTTGTATAGCGCTTTTACAATGTAGATTGTGTCAAAGCAGCTTCACATAAATGGTCATAGTAACTAGAACAGTGTGGTTCAGGTTTTAGTGTTTAAGTTCAGTTCAGTTCAGTTTAGCTCAGTTCAGTGTGATTTAATCATTACTGAGAGTTCAAACACTGAAGAGCCAATTCATCGATGCGTAGCTTTACCAATCCTGAACAATGCGAGGCAGTGGCGACAGCGGAGAGGGAAAAAAAACTTCACCTGATGGGAGTGAAGAAAAAAAACCTTGAGGGAACCAGACTCAGTTGGGCACGACCATTTTAATTTCTCCGCTGGCCAAAAGTCTTGTGCAGAACTTCATTCGCCGTGGTTAAGGCTGGAAGATGGCCTCAGCGAAGACTCGTCTGTCCCTGGGACGTCGCTGGAATCAGACTAATGTTCTCCACTACCCACGACCATCAGCGCAGCAGCAGCTCAGGATATGGCCTGGTCCCGGATATGGAATCCTTGGGATCATCACGTCGCTGGTCTTGGATCCAATCAGTGACTCAGCATAATCTGAGGACCTCGGGATGAGTATCCCCAGGTGAAAATAGAGAATAAAGAAAATAATTAGCGTAGCTGCTGTTCATAGTGTATATAAGCAAGATGCAGAAGCCTGTGTGGAACCCGCTAGGTAATGCATTGAGTGTATGCTTTACTAAACAGATAGGTCTTTAATCTAGTTTTGAACTGGGAGAGTGTGTCTGAGCCTCGGACGTTATCAGGAAGGCTATTCCAGAGTGTAGGAGCCATGAAAGAGAAGGCTCGACCTCCTTTACTTGATTTTGCTATTCTAGGTACTACCAGAAGCCCTGTGTTTTGAGATCTTAAAGAGCGAGTTGGTTTGTAGCGAGACAGAAGGTTGGTTAGATAAACAAGAGCTAGATTATTTAGAGCTTTGTAGGTGAGAAGTAATATTTTAAATTCAATACGAAACTTAACAGGCAGCCAGTGTAGAGAGGATAAAATTGAGGTTATATGATCATATTTTCTAGACCTGGTCAGAACTCTGGCTGCTGCATTTTGTACTAATTGAAGTTTGTTAATAGAGGATGCTGGGCAGCCAGCAAATAGAGCATTACAGTAATCCAGTCTCGAAGTCATAAAAGCATGGACTAGCTTTTCTGCATCTGAGATGGATAGCATATTACGTAATTTAGCGATATTTCTCAAATGAAAGAAGGCAGTTTTTGTGACATGGGATATATGGTTTTTAAAAGTTAGATTGCTGTGAAATATGACACCCAAATCTTTTATAGTAAAGCTAAAACTAACTTTGTATCCCTCTAATGTAAATTGAGTTGTGAGATCTGCTGTGTGCAAGATTTAGGCCCAATAAGTAATAATTCTGTTTTGTCTGAGTTTAAAAGAAGGCAGCATATATGTACTTTTCAGCATTAATGGTCATTTTTTCCAGAATTTCTCTGCAATTTGTAGTGTGTAGTTTCCATTAAGCTGTATGATAATATTTAGCTTTGAACATGGTTGTGGTCTGGCTGTCAATGTTGTGATGTACTAAAAACTGAACATTTTTGCACAAAACATTGCGCATATAAAACTTTTCATGGTGTTTTTAAATGGTGAAAAGCTTGAAATTAATTATGCACAGCACTGCCATTTTACAACAACAGTGCATTTGATTATTTATTGCACATATTCGCATGACATAGGAAGTTGCAGAAAAGGTTGATATTGATGATTTGTTCACTGCTGATGCTTAATTATTTTTCCTTTTTTATAGGTGAACCAGGATAACGTTGTCAAAGTGGGCCACAAACAAGTGGTCAACATGATTCGTCATGGTGGCAACCACTTAATCATCAAAGTGGTAACGGTCAGTCGAAATCTAGACCCTGACGACACGGCTCGAAAGAAAGGTACAGTGAGCGTCTTGATGTATTTTCTGGGTCATGATGTAACGTGTTTAGCAGAAAAAACTCCTTTCACGTAATTCTAACCATTGCTTTTGCATAACAAGCACTTATTTTGGTCACACTTTATTTTGATGGTCTGTTTGTTGCATCTACTGTACATGCCAACTTATTCTAGGACTGGTTAGGACTGGGGTTAGGGTTAGTGTAAGTTGACATGTACTAATGTTTGTTTAGCATCAACAGTAGTATCAACAGATATTGAGCAGACAGTCTACTAATACTCGAATGGCCTATCAAAATAAAGTGTTACCCCAGTTTTAACTAACACTACTAATTTGAGAATCGTCAAACCTTTTAATGCATGAGTTGATGTTGAATATACCGTGCTTCCTCATGGGAATGCTACAGCCCATGGTCAAGCATCAACTGTACCTGCTGTATTTTTTGTTTTGTTTGTTGCTGTAGCGCCACCGCCACCACGGAGGGCTCCCTCCACAGCCTTGTCCATGCGTTCAAAATCTATGACCTCAGAGCTAGAAGACCTAGGTAAGCCCAGTCACGCCAAGCAGAAGCATCCCATCCAATTTCTGTTGTCATTTAAAGGTGAAGTGTGTAGTTGAGTAGAGGGAGATCTAAAAAGTAATTGTTATTTTTAAAGTATCGCTTAAACTCATCACTCACTTAGGTTTGTAACGATTCACTGTGAGTCAGTTGAAAATTGATTCAAATATTTGTTGATTCAAATCAATCAGGATATTAAATGGATCATAATGAACCCTTTTCATAGGATGCATTTACTGCTCCCATAGCAAAATATCTCTGGCCCAGTTCTGGTCCACACAACAAGCTTTTGCTTAGTCCACATGCCGCAGTGAATTACGGTACATGACTGGACCAAGTCTGGCTTCCAGACATGATTTGAATCGCAGATAGCTCCAGATATTTAGCATGCAGAATATCTGATGGTTATCGGCGACTCATCTGCAATTCTCTCAGAACACGTTTTTGATAGTTCACACTGCGTGATTGTTACTCACGTGAACAAGCACCGCTTTGCCTGTGGTTTTAGGCATTTGTCTGTGATTTATCAAAACCTGTCAGCGAGTGAAAATCAGGTCTAAAATCATGCAGTCTGAACTTGGCATAAGAAAACCTGAACATGTGAAAAGGGTGCATATATGTTTTAAGCAGCTCCATCTTTATTCAAATTAGAGGAGTGCCGGTTTGTGAAAGCTAGATTTTTAGTCTGTGTTGTCACAAAGGCAGTACGATCTATCATTTATTTTATACAATATAATTTGGGGGTGACACAGTGGCTCAGTGGTTAGCACTGTTGCCCCTCAGCAAGGTTGCTAGTTTGAGTTCTGGCTGGGCCAGTTGGCATTTCTATGTTGAGTTTGCATGTTCTTCCCGTGTTCATGTGGGTTTCCTCCGGGTGCTCCGGTCTTCCTATAAGGGAATAAGTAAATTGGATGAACTAAATTGGCCGTAGTGTTTGATTGTGTGTAAATGTGAGAGTCTATGGATGTTTCCCAGTACTGGGTTGTGGCAGGAAGGGCATACGTTGTGTAAAACATATGCTGTAAATGTTGGCAGTTCATTCCACTTTGGCGACCCCTGATGAATAAGGGATAAAGCCGAAGAAAAGAGAATGATTAACTTGCTTGTAAAAATATGCAGAGTTAATAAATAGTGCACTCTAGTGGAGCTCAATCCACCGATGTCCGCATGTCTACTCTTCTAGCGATCTCCACTTTATTGCACTTCATCTCCGCTATTTTTTTATGTTTAGTCATATTATTAAATTGATGACAATGAACATGACATTTCTCACTGTCACACACACATTTGATAAGTGATTTCAAAGTTTGTAAAGAAGATATATTTCAGGAGTTCACACTTAGCTGATGATTGATTATAAAGCTTGTTGGACATGCTGTCCCGGGAGAGAGCCCTGGGCTTATAAGATCCTCAAGCCCTGGGCTCCCTCCCATTTGGAAGGCGTAAGGGGAGTTTGAGCTCAGGTAGATCTCAAGAACTCCCCTGCTGTAGTAGCTAATGAACAGATAGTGATTGCTCTCAAGAGATAACTACTTACTAGGAGCATGTCTATGGTGCGATTTGGATTTAGTCAATTAACTTAAGTTGCATGTTTTTGAACGGTGGGAAGAAACTGGGGAACCCGAAAAAAAAAACACGTGAGCACGTGGAGAACATGTAAACTCTGCACAGAAACGTCGGCTGGCTTGGTAAGGACTAGAACCAGTGACGTCTAGCTGTGAGGCAACAGTGCTAACCACTGGGCCACCGTGCCACCCATCTAGGAAAGAAGGAGGAGTAGGGGTGGAAGGGGGGATTCTTCAAAAAGAACATGGCTGTGATATGAAACTTAGAGTATTTATAGTGTATTAGGAATCATCTGACTGGTGAATCATAAATTGGATAATGCGGGACCAGCTGCAACAGCTCCAGCTCCTCTCGACATTAGTTTATAAATAAACTTCACTTATTTTTTTGAGATCTCAGCTTGTGCCAGAAAATGTTTCTTTCACGAGGGTCATGATTCGCACTTGTTAAACAATTACTTTATGTAGCTTTATTTCACATTAGTATCTCCTTTGAATGTTAAAAAAATGCTAGCGCGCAGTGCAGACTTCATTTCAAAAAATATATCTCTTCAACAAAAAAACTTGCTAAGAAGAGCATCAACAAAGTCTTAATTTGCTTATTTTTTTTATTTGTAATATGATTTATTAAGTTGATTCTGGAATTGTAAACTAAATTGCAATTTAGTTTTGTTATTTAAAAATGTTTTTAAGGAAATATTACAATTGCAAACTACTTCATTGCTAAATTATCTTATTTTGTTCAAATAAATCGTATCGTGACATCAGTATTTTGAATCGTATCAAATCGCGAGTAGAGTGAATCGCTACATCTTCCTAACTCAAACTTGAGATTTTTCTAATACTTAATTTTTAAAAACTATTTTTATGGGGTTTAACGAGACAAAATAGTTAAGAAGAAACACAAGTTTGGTATCTCGATTAACACCCAAACATTTCATTAAATTCCACAAAGTTTTTGATTCCTGAGTTCAGATTCCTCATGCTGCTCATAAGACTCAACATTTACATTTTAGTTAGAGATGATTGGCATATTTATATTAGTCAATGAACAATAAAAACACTAACATACTTCACCTTTAATACATATTCATAACATAAGGGAGCATTTGCATGGGTCACATTCTAGCAATATTGTAAATACAGCTACAATATTAACTCATATTTTATTCTTTTTTCAGTCTCAAACCATGAGATCTGTTATATTATATATATATATATAGTTAATGTCAAGGTTTAGTTTCACCGCATTTTGTTAAGTGTAGTTGTTTTCAAAATCACAAACAAGCCTTACGTGAATGGTCCAGAAGAATTAGTTGTTAACCTGTGCCACTTTTTGTTGTTCTACAGCTACCGTTCATTATGAAATGAACTCTGATGTTGTTTTGTTTTCCTGCATGCTGACCTAAAAGTGGATAAAGGTATGATGTGATCATTTACACAAACATTTATTACAAGCTGTATATAACCTGTTATGTTGTGCTTCCCTGGCATGCAAGTCAATCTGTTGTACAGTATGTATATTCTTGTGACGTATATTTGTGATTATATGCACATTGTGTGTTCGTCACAGTTTTTGTGTAGTTCTCACTAATGAAAGCAAAAATACTAGATACTGTTAAAGCATGATGCATTTCATGTGAGCAGGTTGTGAAGGATTTACTTTGGTGATCACAGATAAATCTAGGGTTTGATGGGTCATGCTGATTTCATTGTCAGTAATTAAACTATGACACAAAGGGTAAGCAATGCGTCTTAAATTCTTGTGTACATTGTGTAATCAGCGACTAATTGTCTTTTTTGTCACTTTATTGGATACTAATCTACTTGTCTCGTGTAGTGTTGGTGGAAAGTTAACTGCATGGATTTGTTGTTGCTTTCCATCTAAAATGGCATTACATTATGCACAGGTCAATGCCATGTGGAGGAATACAGTGTATTCCAATCGTTGGTTCTTCTCGTCATGTTTTCTGGAAATTATCTCTGAATTTTAATGCTTGATTAAAGCTGAATTGTTCTTTTATGTTAAAGCCACTTTGAGGAAAAAGAAGGGTGAGTCTTCCCTAAATATTTGTCACCTCAGCATAGTTTAGTGATTAATTTTTCTCACACAATTGAACTTTTTTGGGGTTTTAAATGATTCAGTGTTAATAATTTGTATTCTCTTTCCAATAATCAAAATTTGCCAGTTGGAAGACGAAATGTGTTTACACTGCAAATGGCTCCATAAGCCTGTAGCTTCACTTATTGACTTCTAGATCTTCAAAAGTGCAATGTAAGAATTTATTATTCAACAGCCTGCCTTCGATTACTAAAAGGATTTGTTTCAGAAAACAAGAGCCATGAATTTCCCCTTGTTCCTACCGATATAATGGATCCTGCCTCCATTTCTCTCCTCAGAGAGAAGATCAAATTTGAAAGCTGGACTTTTTAAGATAATTTCCGCCCTTTACAGAAGTACTTTCTATCTATCATCATACAAGGGACCACTCCAGCTTTGAATCACATTGAAACAAGATGTTGCCATGGAAATAATGCTGCATATGTTTAATATAGAAACGGTCCAACTGCAAAATGTAATGCCATATTTTCAGTGTAAAGCTATCGCCAGACTTAGCATCGATTAGAATTATGACGACGTATGACGTATGTTGCGCAGATATGACATGACGTCTTAGACTGCTGAATGGACTCCTTTGCCTTCTAGATGGAGATATTTTCTAAATCGTTGTAAGCATTAGTTTTATGCTTACATATTGTGGCTGGCTGCATACCTCTGTGTGTGTGTGTCTATATATATATATATTAGTGCTGTCAATCGATTAAAAAATTAGGTAATTAATCACACTTTTTTGAAAATTAATCACGATTATTTAAATTTAAAAGACTGAAACTTATCATTTTAGCTATTCAAATGTAAAATTAATGTAAATGCAAGACAAAAACTATTTAAATTCTAAAAATAATTGTTTATTAGAATTTTTGTTTAATTTGTAACACAGATTTCTTCATGTAAACAACATACCCACAATAAACCATCAAGATCCTGGCTTGACAGCCATATTTATTACAGAAATTAAAACACATGCATGTTGATGCCATTTGAATTTTAAACCAATCAATACCAATAAAGAAAAAAATTATTTCCAAGTTGGATTCTAAGTGGACTGCAAAAAAATGCCAAAATACAGGCACTGCAAATATGGAAGTTGGAAAATATAATAATAATAATAAAGTATTGGATACAAACAATTGCACTCATTGTAAAGTTGTATTGCTGTGAATTGAGAACATTAATTATAAAGTAGAAACAATTTTGCTCAGTCCTCCTTTACATTCAGCCAGTTGCTAAAATAGTCCTGTCTGTTGAAATTATCGGGGGACTATGTGGACCTTTTCTTTTCAATGATGTGAGCTGAGAGTGCAACGCAATCTCACGGCAATTTGTAACTTTTTGATTTACTGGCTATGGACAACAACGTTTAAGCAGGTTTGTTGCTAAGAAACGCATGCGCGCACTCTCAGGAGGCACTTGCTCTTCACTTTGCGATTATTTTGAGCACCTGTCCCTGCATAGGCCTGACACAGACACACAAACAGACACACACACACACACACACACAACGTGCGTTCATCAAATTTGCTTAAACTAACCGTTCTAAAGTATGGCTGTATTTCACACGGATTTTGACACAACAACGCGAAGCATACGCTTTCGATGTGTTTAAGGAGGAAACACATCAAACTTAATGAAACATTGGAGGGCGCATGTTGAAAGGCATTAAAATGCGCTGTCTTTGACAGCTCGTGACTTCATCTGACACTTTCTGAGTACATTTACATAAGACACGAATACTCCGATTTTAATATGATTAGGATAATACTCTTATTAAGAGTCTATCATGTAAGCAGCGATTTTTGATTACCTTAAAGGACCACGGAGTCACAAAAGGCGGAGGTTTTTCTTTCCGTTCGCCATGTGGTATCAAATTTCATTAAAACAAAAGTCGAAAGTTAAAAATGAAACACTTAAAAAATGCATGAAACTCTAGACGAAATGCTGGATGGCCTGGTAATGCGACATTAATTGTTTTATACTGAAACTTGCCTTCATAAAGCGCTTCCTTGGTCTTATCCATATTTCTTTGCATGTTGAACACACATCGACCACAAAAGGAAGTAAAAAAAAAAACCTGCAACTGCGTTAATCTTTTTTAACGCATTAATTATTTAAATATTTCAAATTAATCACATGCGTTAACGCACTAATTTTGACAGCACTAATATATATGTACTAACACACACACACAAAGTACCTCACAAAAATCTTGTCGTTAATGCCAGTTGTAAGAGCAACAAATAATAACTTGATTTCTGGTTGATCGTTTGGAAATATAGCAGAAGATAAATTTTTTCTATGAATTATCTGTTGAACTGCATCCCCATCATCACAAATACTTCAGAAGAAATATTAAAACCCACTGGACCCAAGATTTTCACAGAAATCAGTCAAGTTTGGTGAAGGAAAAGTCATGGTTTGTGGTTACATTCAGTCTGGGGTTGTTTGATAGATCTGCAGAGTGGATGGCAACATCAACAGGCTGGGATATCAAGACATTTATGATGCCCATTACATTACAAACCACAGGCTCATAAGACCTCCTTCTCATACTTTGGCCTCTACATCAAAATTCCTGAAAGCAAATAAGGTCAAAGTGCTTCAGGATTGGCCAGCCCAATCACCAGACATGAACATTATTGAGCATGTCTGGGGTAAGATGAAGGAGGAGGCGTTGAAGATGAATCCAAAGAATCTTGGTGAACTCTGGGTGTCCTGCAAGAACGCTTTCTTTGCCATTCCGGATGATTTTATTATTGAGTTATTTGATTCATTGCAGAGATGTATGGATGCAGTCCTCCAAGCTCATTGGAGTCAGACACAGTAATAATTCTTTTTCCACTGCACCATTACTTTATTTCCTATACTGCACATTATTCCTGTTAAGTGAAAAGACTTTTGTCTAAACAAAGTCAGACCTTACTGTTCTAAATAAACAATTGAAAATCATGACGTAATCTAGAGGCCTTTGCCTTTCATATAAGCCACTTCTGGATAGACTTGGATAGTCGATAAGACTTTTGTCAGGTAGTGTTTCTATATATAAATATATAACTATTATCCGCTGCATAAAAACATGTGTTGGAATAGTTGGTGGTTCATTCCACAGTGGTGACACCTGAAAAATAAGGGCCTAAGCTAAAGGAAAATTTATGAATATATATATATATATTTATATAACTTCAAACTCTTCCTGCAGTCTCTGATATATACTCTGTGGTATGAATATTAACTACAGAACACATTCTCCTTAATGGGCAGTTTTTAATTCTTGTTTTGCCTCAGGAGTATTTTCGAAGTGTATATAATTGCAGAATGAAGACATGTAACTGGTGACCCCTTTACTTCTGATATTAAAATGCATTTCCAGATCACATTTGGATGTTCAGCACATAAATAGCTCACAGATAACTGAAACTATGTTTTAATCTTGTTCTGTTTAGAGTCTTACAAGTTTTTTATAAAGGTTTAAACTGTAATGCTTATTTCATTATTGGACAACAGAAATATTGTGGTTAGTGCATGCTGGTTTATCTATTTAATGATTAAATCTTTTTCACTGGGATGCTTGAATCTCACAAATTGTATATAAAAATTTTATTTTTAACATTTCAATGCTTTAAATTGGGCTTGTTTAATACTGTTTATCAACAAAGTACTTTACTTTACCTTTCAAAATGACAGAAATCCTTTTTAGATGTTCTGTAATGCTAATGACACAGAAAAGGAATTAATCACCAAAATTATTATTTTTCCAGCAGGCACAGGATGTCAACATGACATAAATTTGACGTTGTACCCCAACGCTGCATTTTGGTTGAAAATGAAAAGCGAGATGAAGGCAGAACCCAACGTCAGGTCGATGTCAATCTCCAATGTCCAACCTAAAAATCAAGCAAATATCAGCGTTTAATGATGTTACAGCTTGACGTTGTGTGGACATTATCACTATGGCGTCTATCAAACGTTGAATTTTGGTTGCCATACCTGACAATGTAAATGTCAGTATTTAAGGTCAATATGGCGTTGGATTTTGGTCACTTTCCAACCCAATCTAAAATCAACTAAATATCAATGTCATTTGACATCGTTATTCGATGTCAAAATAACTTTGTCCTTAGACGCTGACTCACAACCTAAAGCTAACCTAATATTAATGTCTTATGACATTGTGTGCCTGCTGGGTTGTCATCATTTACTCGGCCTAAAATGGTTCAAAACATTTATGAATTTCTTTCATTCAGTTTTTCTGTTAAACACAAATGAAGATATTATGAATAAAGCTTTCCATAGTAGGACAAAATAGAGTAGAAGACATTTGCTTTGAATATTATTTTGTGTTCAACAAACAAACTGGTTTGGAACAAGTGGAGGGTGAGTAAATGATGCCAGAAACTTTATTTGAGGGTGAACTGTCTCTTTAAATGTAGTTAATTAATTACCAGGTGTAAAGGCGTTTCATGTGTGTTTGTGTGTTTGTGTGTAACCATATTCAGTCTTGATGACTTTTATGCTAGGATATCAGAAACTGAATTTCCCTTTCCTCCATTTCTGTGTAGATGATCAGCTTTCAGATAATGAGGGTCTGAAGAAGAGGATTGTATTTCAAGTCACACTAAGTAATCATCCCATGCATGGGAGCTGTCTTAAAAAATAAATAAAAAGCTAGCATGTTGCACAGTGGCCGTTGAAAGAAGTGCTAAGATTTCTCCAACGCAGCCAGGAAGCGCTTGCACGGCTTTGACCTTGACCATTGTTGTTGTACCTATTTCTGTCGCCTCTCTTGCTCGGTTTGGATCCTTGCACTGGGGATCCTCTTAGAGGAAATTAGCAATATTTGATACTGAGCTTATTTTAAATGTTGCTTCCTGCTTTCTAATTTGAGATGCTGTTGTCTTACAGATAAAGTGGATGAAGTCGTACCTCCTCAGAAACCCATATGGGACAACTCAAATGCAGAAGTGAGAGTGGCGACGGTCAAGCCACGTCCAACTAGCAAATGTTTTCCTGTCAGCCCTGAAATGAATGTAAGCGTGCCTTGTGTAATATCCCCTAGAGCTTCGGTCTCCTGTGATTGTTGATAATTGTATTGTAGGCTAACTGCAATAACCGCTATTCACAAGTCTCATATAACCACTGGCTATGCACGTGATGTTGGATTTTGATGCTTAAATTAGAGTGGAATTATGCACAGGGTTGTGAGTATGTTATAGATTATTTCTATATATTTGTCTCAATCCCTTTTTATAAATTTGTTTCAAAATGTGAGAAGCCTAGTTTGAATAGGTGCTCTACAAAAAGTGCTGCATTATGCTTGTCCTTATTATCATGTCAGCCTTGTTCTTTCTTTTGCAGTCTCTCTGCAATAGTCAGGATACAGCAGTAGATTCGTCACCACAGCCAGGGAGTCCTAGAGGCCCTTTTCTGGGTCTACCAAGGGGAACCATACGGCGGCAAACATCCATAGGTGTGTGGATTGTTTTGTTTTGCACACTCAAGTACATCTTTATTTTGATATATTGCACACAAAACTCATTCAGAGCTTTGTCAAATGAAACAAATAATTGGCCTACTACACTCAGTGGTCAGCCCACTGTTGCTGGAGGCTTTTCCATTAATCTGATTTATTTTCAAGATGTAACATTTGCTTTGTAATGTCATATTTATTGTTTCTGTATGGTAATTACACCCCCAGTCTTGTTGACGTGTTTGGTATGAATTTTATTCTTTTATTTCTTTACAGGAGTAACCGAAGAAGAGAAGCAGTTCCTTACTCCTCCAATGTTGAAATTTACAAGAAGCCTTTCGATGCCTGACACATCAGAGGATATTCCACCCCCACCAGCTATCTCCCCTCCATCTCCACCTCATAATAATGCTCCTGTCCCAGCTGGTCGAGGATACGGCACCATCAGAGCAGGTTTTACTTCACAGAGTCCTAATGCAAACAGCACAGCCCCGGAGAGAGGAGAAGGTGCTGGGTGGAGAGATCAGGGCAAGTATTACAGAGACAATCCCGAGCAGTATGATTCTGAGGGGTACAATCACAGCCCCACGGCCCAGCAGAGTCTTCATATGCGCCGTGCCCAAATCCCTGAGAACCCTTACTCAGATGTTGGTAAGATGGGTCAAGCTGGACTGTTTGTGCCCAACAAGCCTGCCAGAAGAAAGGGAATGCTTGTCAAACAGTCCAACGTAGAGGACAGTCCTGAGAAGACCTGCTCCATTCCTATTCCGACAATAATAATCAAAGAGCCCTCCACCAGCAGCAGCGGCAAAAGCAGTCAAGGAAGCAGCATGGAAATTGAGACGACCACTCCAGATCACCCAGGGCAGTTGCGTCCTGAAGATGGCCTAAATCCAGGCAGTCCATTTGCAGCTGCCATTGCTGGTGCTGTCAGAGACAGGGAAAAAAGGCTTGATTCTCATCGCAACTCACCATCTTTTAGGTCTACAGATGCTGGTGATGAAGATGTGGTTCCTACACCTACCCCAAGGCTTCGACACTCCAAGTCTATTGATGAGGGCATGTTTAGCAGCGATGAGCGGCTGCGTAGGCTCATGGCACCTCCCTCATCACTTCTTAGCATCCCTAGAGGTGGTGGCAATGTGACAGACTTCAACAGTCCCGAACCCACCATGGTAAGGGAACTGTTGAACACTCGTACAGGACACAGCCCAATCAGTCTGCCTGCTCATAAGACCTACAGCTCAGGAAGTGGGAATTACGTTCACCCAGTAACAGGCAAGCCACTTGACCCCAACTCACCATTAGCTTTAGCATTAGCTGCCAGAGACCGAGCCATGAGGGATCAATCACAGCCTCTTCCATTAAAAAGTGACCCATCCAAACTTGATCTCAATAAACCGCTTTTCATCGACACCAAGCTTAGACCAAATGTGGAGGTTGGCTTCTCAAGTACTGCTACCATGGGCCGTCCCCGTGGGGGCTTGAGGAGGCAGATGACTGAGTCCAAATATGAGACAGAATCCAAGTATCAGCTCGATTTGGGCAAGCCCGAAAAGAGGCCTGAGGAGAAGAAAAACATGCTGATTGACATTGTGGACACTTCTCAGCAGAAGTCAGCTGGTCTGCTGATGGTGCACACCACAGATGGGGCAAAATCTGAGGATAACAGCTTGTCAGAGGGCGAAAGGGACGAGGGAGTGAGTCCCGACAACACCCCTGGGGAGCTTCGCGACCCCAACCAGCCAGCTCCCACCAACCCCCCAGCCCCCAAGGCGCTATCAGCTGCTCCACATGGCAAGACCATTATAACTGTTAGCTCAGTGGATGAGCCTGTGAAGCTGCCCTTCGGCATCCCTCCACCGCCCTTGGCCTCTGTCGACATCGATGAAGAGTTTGTGTTTGCAGAACCCTTACCACCCCCACTGGAGTTTGCCAACAGTTTTGACATTCCTGAAGACCAGGCAGGAAGTATAGCTGAACTACTCAAACAGAAAGCAAATGGTACAAAAGGGCCTTCTCTTGCTCCCTACTATCCCGCGTTAGGTGGAGGGCATGCTGAAATCAAAAGATCAACAGTCCTCACAAATTGCACACCTCCCAGCTTCCCTCCTGGGCCTCTAGAGCCCTATGAACAAATCACTGACTCGGGCATTGAGGTAGACAGCCGGAGCAGTGGTGACCCCCAACTGGAGACCACCAGCACCATCTCTACTGTGTCCAGCATCTCCACCCTGTCTTCTGAAGGAGGTGAGACCCTGGATACGTGCACCGTCTATGCAGATGGACAAGCCTTTCTGGTGGACAGGTCTCAAATCCTGTCTAAACCAAAACCCAAACCTGCCATCAAGAGCAATGCACTTTACAAGGACTCTTTGCCTGAGGAGAACGTAGGCTCTTTCAGAATGCCCTCCTCTGTCCCACCTCCACCCCCTGGATCTATTCCACCAGAACCCTTGAAAACCCCAACGCAACGAACCTCAAAGCTGTGGGGTGACCCTCCGGAGATGAAAGGACCCCATGGGCCTGAAACCAATTCAGTTCTGCAGCATGTGAACAAGGACAAAGCACCAAAGCCAGGGGAAGCGTTAGACTCTCCGACTGGATCCAGGACTCACTTTGGAACAAGGTATGCCCTCTTTCCTTACTGTATCACAGGCTTACATTTAGGCTCTCAGATTAGTGTGTGTGCTCTGCTGGAGAACGAAAGAGTTGCCTAGCAACCCAATAATGAGAACAGCCTTGAGGACGAGATGAGCAACGTCAGTGTGATGATGAACACAGACCATACCACAGAAGGGGGAGGTGTGTGTTGTTACAACATGGTCCATTTGTTACGTAGTTGTCACAGCACCCAAACTGCTCCCCCAAGACATGTCTAGATTATCTTAAGTAATCTCCTAAAGGCTTTTTAAAGGAATATTTAATTTAGACAAAAGCATTTACAATTATAAGGAGCTAGTACTATTTTGAGAAAGCCCACTGAGCTGTCTTGCTGGTTGCTGCCAACATAGGCTGTTTTTATGGCTGCATCAATACTAAAATAAACCTAATATTAACTGATTTAGAATGCTCTGAGTATAAGTAACTTATACTAAGTAACAAAGTACTGATGATGCAAGGAGAATGGTACAATGCATTAAAATCATATTTATATTTTGAGCTCATAAATATACTCCTAAATATAATAAAATACTAAGGACAAATTGTTTTGTATTTAGTGTTTTACAATTGTTTTAATAAATATTTGTTTTTTTTTCAACTTACAATTCCTACAGAGAAAGCTAATTTGGTTTTAAAGCTTATGTCATTTAGTTTGCAAAGATGAGCAAAATGAACACTGATGTGCATGTGCAAAGGTTGCGTATGCTGATGGATTCCACATAGCACAGACAGTGGTTTGCCATCAACATGAAGTCCCAAGTCTCATTTATTATTAAATGATTTAGTTATTTACAGACCAAAGAACTGACCCCAAAATGCACTTGTAGCCCAGGCAGAGCGCTATGTTTAGCACACACTAAGCAAAGAGTTTTTTTTCTTTTTTTTTTTCTCTCACAATAAATAGAAATAGATTATTTTTTGTTGTTGTTTTGAAAGCTAGCGTTATTTATTTGAATCACTGAATTGGTGTATTTTTATTCTTATGATCTGGGCTAAATGTGTAACTTGTACATTGTATTGATGTTGCGTATTTATTGATGTTTTTGTATCAGTCTAGAGTTGTTGAGTACTGTTTATATGAGTGTGTTTGGTTTTATTTGCTATGTTACATAAGATGCAAATGTAAAAGTTTATGTGTCGACAACAAATCTAGGCCAGCTCACCTTGGGTATAAGGAGAAACCTGGGGCAAGGACATTTTATTCTAAAGAACCTCACATTCTCTGCTTCCTTTAAACCAAACCACCTACATTACACTCATACTTTCAGTGCACTTGGGTTTCAATACGCTTATTTTGCCCTCAACATTTTTTCTTGTTTTTCTATTGGGACACATAATATTTTGTATTTTGTAAGTCTCTTGTCTCAGCTGTCCCTTGCATAAAAACACTTTTCCAGAGGTTAGTAGGTTTTTGTTTCAGTGGCACTTTTGAAAAATGTCAACTAAAAATTCCACCTGGGAGCAAATAAAATCATACAAACAGTTAACTTGGACTATCAATGCCCAGAACATGCTAATAACTTCATAACAATATTCTAAAAAGGTGAAAAGATTACATAAACCACACAACAATGCTCAGCTTTACCAACCACTTAAAGCATTCTAGATTTTTTTTTTAGCTAGGATGTAGCTGTACATGTTCCCTCATGTTTTTCCTCCTTATATGTATTCCTCATGTTTATCCTTCTGTCATTGCAGAAATCAGGATGGTGTATCCCTCATCTCAGGTACACAGCAAAACACCACCGTTACCTTCACTGCCCAGCCTGGCCCCAACGTGCCTGCCCCGTCACCGTGCCGACAGGCAGAGAGCCTGCCTCCCCACCACCACACCCCAAGCCCTATCATGTCCCCACCGGACTCTGGCCTCAGCTGTGCCTCTTCCCTCCCAACCTCGGCCACTTCCCCCACCATGACGGACGTCTTTGGCCTGCCCACACCGCCCCTCAGCCTGGGCACAGGGCGTAGCCGCTCCCCTTCCCCACTCACCCTCATCCAGGCTGCATCAAATAAGCCCTTTGCCACCAAACCTGTTCTCTTGTGGAGCAAGCAGGATGTGGCCGACTGGCTCGAGAGCCTGAACCTGGGTGAGCACAGGGATGCCTTTATGGACAATGATATAGAGGGCAGCCACCTGCCAAACCTGCAAAAGGAGGATCTGATCGACTTGGGTGTGACTCGTGTGGGTCACAGAATGAACATCGAGCGGGCGCTTAAAGTCCTTTTGGACAGATGAGACTGGGCGAGACGTCCTCCACAGGACTCGGCGCATCTTGTTCATAAGCTTCGTTTTCCCTCTTCCCTTATTTCGGTTCACTAATTTGAACACTTTGTTGTCCTATCATGCTTTCGGTGGATTTTAGGAACTCTCACATCCTGAAGAAACTCAAGCGTTCAAAATATCCGCGCAAGCACAAGCGGTTCCCTGCATTTATGTTCCAAGAGCTCCAGCACCAGAGAGGACATTGAAGCCAACACACTGTATGGAAACTACAAACATGAGCTGACTATCCTTTGGCTTTTAAGGATTTTGGCCTCCTTTGAATGCACTGAAACCAGCAGAGCTGGGGATCCATTTTCTATCTTTGCTAAGACAATTCTACAGAGAATATTTCTTCAGGAAAAAAGGGAACCTTTGTCTATGTATCAGCTGCCTATGAAATAAATATCTTGCTTTTTTTCCCTCCTCATACACCTTCAACCAAGAGGTACACGAATCTCTGAGATGCGAGCATTTAGACATCCCTCAGTTCATTCGCTGACAGTCCTAGAAGGGCCGTGGTCACTTGAAACAGAGTTAAAATCTCCTTACGTGTGAACAACGTAACCGTAGCAAGCAGCAGGTCTCTCCACCATTGTAATAAGATAACATTGGATGTTTGTTTGAATGATCAACAATTCTCTTGGGTCTTTCTGAATTGTGGTTTACTATTAGGTGTCTTCCATTCGGTAAGGAGGTCAACTGCATTCCCAGCAACATTGTATTTGTACCTTCAGTCAACACTAGGTTGCGCTGTTGCTACTCAGTATTAATTTCCAGCAGTTTTTGAATTGAAAAAAAAAGGGTCTTCACAGGAAAACATGTGAATGCTTCAACAGAATCGAACTGAATTCAAGTAGAAATTTGGTTTTGTTGAATTTGCCAGCTTTGAGTTGAATGCTGACACAATCACTCTGAAAGGGCCAGTATGTATGTCTTTTGCTTTAAATGTGTGATGAATACTTCATTTATTTCTTCATTATTCTTATTAATCTTCTTATTATTTTTAGTGTAATTCTAATTTGATAAATCATTTGATTGTTGGGTGGTAAAAAGAAATGTCCAAACTCCAGGAAACCTCCTTAATCTATACATATCAATGTCGTCAATTGTAACTGATACAGGACTTCATATGTGTATATTGTTTAGTAGTATTTATTTGTTTTCCTTTTATCAAAATTTGATTTGGGTGGTTTTTTATTACCGTTATTATTGTTTGCAACTCAACCATTGCAACAAATTTGAAGTGGGATCACCGGGTGTAAATTCAAATTTTCAGTTTTGGTCAAAAATCAAAGTGCTTTTACTTTTTATTTCAAGTCCTGCAATTCTTTTGCTTTGCTGGGGGAGGTTATGATTTTGCTGTCTTATTATGTTATTATTTTTAAAATGTAACTGCAATGTGTGCCTATCCGTGTTGCAATTTGACACACCACAACATCTCTAGGTCCTCTAAAGTTTAGTTGTGATTTTCTCATTGTTAGACTTGTTTTTTTTTTTAGAGATCTATCAATCTCATTTGACTGTAAATGCCATAAAATCCCACAGGTATGGACTGGAAATAATATTCATATTCATGATTAAATACATCACAGAGACACGAAGGGACAGCCAGCATTACACATTTCACCTTCAGTATTAAGTTCAAAGCACTGTGGGTAACGACAGAACTGAGGGAAAGGCGATAGATGTGGAGAATGGCTGTGAATGAAATGAAGTTGATAAGCGTTTAAAGTATGCAGTGAAGAGATTCAGAAATAAATTATATATATATAAATATATATATATATATGTTTGCTTATCTCTCGACCTTAGAGGAGTTAGAGTTATCATCTCTATATATCTTATTTTAGGAAACAGCACAGTATTTTAAAGATTTATAGAAATATTTATGAAATTTTTATGACATTTAACTCTGATATGTGGTGTGCCAAAAATCTATGTGGTATCAGTAAGAAGCAATACACAAATTTAAAGAACACTGTTTGGTCTTTCTTTGCCAGTATTCCACGGTACAGTATACTATTATGAACTGAAATTTACATATACATAGGTCTCAGTGAATTAGAAGATATGAAAAATATTGAGATAATGGCTGTCACCTGCTTCTTTTAGACTATGTAATTAAAGAAAGAAGTTCAAATGTAGATTTGTGTGGTGTCTATACTTGACGGAAAAACTAAATGAGCACATATTTTAGCCCACTTACCTAGCATGCGGTCACATTTACCTCTGCTCTGAGAAATTTCGCGGGCGTTTCGAATTGGAATTGCCGCCGAAATCAGATGAACAAACTGAAAACGTCGTCACACCTCGCTCGCTGACGGTTAAAAAAGGAGATGAACAGGAGTAACGTTATGATAAAACGAGGAGGATTTAAGGTATTATTAATTGTGATTATTTCTAACCATTTTTAACATTTAATTTACGTAAACATAATAGTTGGCTATTTTCTTGCTACTACCTTTTGTATCAAGTAGCCAACTTGTAGCTACTTGTTAGCTACAAATGCTTATTGATATTAAATGCTAGCCTGCTAATACATAAATATTGGGTAGCACTTATTAGACAGGCCACTATACCACTTAATAAATACCAAGTTATTGTACAAGTACTTCATTAAACACTAGTTTAGTTACATTAAATATCAAGTTATTGTACTAGTACTTCATTAAACACTAGTTTAGTTACATTAAATATTGTTATTGTACTAGTACTTCATTAAACACTAGTTTAGTTAAATTTTATTTCACACCAAAAGTATCTGAAGAACAGTTAATGACAAAAATCTTAAATTTGCTAGTAACACTGATGGTTCGTTATTAATTAGGCCCATATAGTCTAGTATTTAATAAGTACTAGTCTATATTTATAGATACAATATCAGTCTCTAAAACTGATAATTCTGTTATGAAAATATTAATTTGAATACCACCGAGCAGGCGAGCACATGAAACGTAATGAACTGACCTGTTGAGCGTCACATTTGCCCGCGAAATTCCTCTGAAACATGGCATGTGTAACCGTATCTTTACAGTATCTGAAAGCTGACTTTATATTTCTGGCAACTGACAGTGGCAGCACTGAAACCATTTGTGTACGAAGAATCCTATTTTGAAAACGCAATTTTATAACATGAAGATGCAGAAAGGGCCTGTCTAATTGGAGCTGGATTTCTGTTTCTTCTTCATAGATGTCTCTCACACACTTCTTGTGGGGAATGCATTCACTTGATCTATGTTGCTGTAATTTTGTGCTAAACTAGAATCCATGATTAAAATCAAAGATAGAAATTATTTGTGACTGCACTTTTCCTCGAAATCCCTCGATACTATATGTATTTGAAGCAACCAAAACTTTACGGGACGAATAAATATGATTGCACAATCTGTTGTCTAACTCATATCGCTCTTGTTTATTTCCATGCGTTTTGTTTACATTGTCTCCGGGTGGGTTTCTGTTCATTTCTTACATCCATTATCAGAGTTTGTTTTATTTATTTTAGCCTGAAATAAAATGTTCCCATTATCAGCATGCTGTTATAAATGATCTGTCACTGTCATGACCATATTACACAGCCTTTTCATGTTTCAATCATATATAAATGAACGAAATCATATTTTTCAACACAAAGCCTGCACTCTAGTGTTCATACACAGTATTTTCTCCCATATTGTGCAAGTCATTAACATGACGCAATGTGTTTGTGTGTTTATTATGTATAGAATTCTACACCAATCTGATGCAAACAAACAGCTGAAAAAAAATACATATATACCCCTGAAAAAGCAGTTTAATTAATGGTGAGCACATCGCTTTGAATCTCATGACTGAGTTGTGTCTGTAAATCACTCAGTTTCTTCTTAAGCATAGCAAGAGCAGACATGACGATGGTCTCCGGTCGAAGTGAACCGCAGGACTCTACGTTGTAATAGAACCTGAATGAAAATAAATGCAATAAATCATGTAGATCTGTGCTGGCATGCTCTTTTTTTGAATTAAACCTCTATTACACTAGAAATAGAAATTTAACAAACATATGGGTTCAAATTACTTTACCTTTCTGGTTTGCCATTAGGATCATATTGAGCCTGAACCCCATCTTCTTCAATCTCTGAATATTCACTTTTAGGCCTGACAGTTGAACAAAGACACACATGAATGCATTTTGGCCCGTTATGTACCTGATGACACGCTTGTAAATTGCAAAAAATACTCATTTAATTGATAGCAGCATGATCTAAACCAGCAGTAAGGGCCATACCATTCCTGTGGAATAGGGTAGACTGTGTGTCTCAGCGCATTGTCTGGGTCATACTCGAACGCCACCCCTGCAGTGGGATTCCACTTGGCGTGTTCCTTGCCGAAGCCTTTTTTAGCGTAAGCTCTGAGCCGCAGCTCTTGACCCTTCCTCAGCTTTACCAGCAGGATGTCTGTGCCAAAGATACAATTAGTGAATGAAAATCCAACAACAACAAAAAAATCTATAGATCGAAACGTGACCCACCATCCTGCTCTACGTAGTCATTGGGGTCATTGTCTCGACTTCTGGATGTTACCTGAAGAACAAGATACATGATTAGAAAAGGCAAAATGTGTTTGTTTATACATACATACATATATACACACACACATATATAGATATACATATATACAGTTGAAGTGAGAATTATCAGCCACCCTTTGAATTTGTTTTTCTTTTTTAAACATTTAAACCAACCCAAATATAACCCAAATTAAATTCAACAGAGAACGAAAATTTTCTCAGAATGTCTGGTGTTTTTTTCTTAAGGAGAAAGTCTTACTTGTTTTATTTCGGCTACAATAAAAGCAGTATTAAATTATTTTAAAAACTTTTTAGGGTCAAAATTATTCGTCCCTGTAAGCCAAGGATGTCAAACTGAGTTTCTGGAGGGCCGCAGCACTGCACAGTTTAGTTCCAACCCTGCTCCAACACACTTACCTGTAGGTTTCAA